ATAGACTCCATGGCGATTGAACTATGCGTATGGGATCTGAGCGCTATTAGCCAATAATATGCACTCAGATCCAGGCTATCTGGGGATATGTTACACGAATGAGAAATGTTCAGCAATTGTAAAGTTATATATTTTTATGTGTTTTTTGGGTTGTATCTAAAATGGCGATTTGCCTCTGTCCTGGGAGATAATTGAATTACTTCTCAATTATCTCCAGGGCAGAGGGGGGAAACCATGATGCATGCTGGGACTATTATGTGCCTGTGTGTCCTGAAATACTGTATGTCCATCTGCTGTTACAGTCTCCCATTTGATCCCCTAGGGGAGTGTCCACCAAGTGGGAGACCTGCATAAATACGGGCGGGTAGCCCACAGTAAACCCAGTTCATGTTTTACCCTCAATGCGGAGCTTGGTCTCGTTATTGGGGTGATTTATTACCGATGAATAGAGACTGCCGGATGGGAATATTAGCCGCTTGGGAGATATATGAGTTCGGCTACTAGCGGCGATTCGTGGGTTTGCTGATCGGGAAGTGAAGTACCCGTATGGGTCCCGTTCGGGAGATTGGAACATTCCCCTGCTTGCAATTCGTATGATTGCAGTTGATACGAATGAAGCTTGCGTTATGGTGAGAGGGGAGGATTCACTAAACGGCAGTTTGTCTATTTGATGCTGAGGGTGCCGTTACAGTCTCAATAAACAGAAGTGTACAGTACAATATAACAAGCCTATGGAATGGAGACTGTGTAACACTGAACTTTCAGCCGCAGAGACGAAGTCCCATTTTTTCATCCTGAAATAGACCGACCTCACAGCCCAAATCTATGGAACTGTTTTGGGCAGGAAAATGTGCTTGCGGTCGGTCATAAAGGACTTCCGGCTAACTTTTTATCCACTGGATGGATTTGTCTGATTTTTCAGAGTGTTTACATTTAAAGTGTGCTGATTCTGAGTATGTAATTTATGAAGATTGGATGTATATTTTTTAAAGTTATAGCACATGTATAAAAACTGTATTTTTCCTGCCTGTGTTAATTATGTTACGCATTATGTATCATAATTATATCACAGGCAGAGGGGATGATTTTGTGGGAGTGAATGGGTGTGGTTTTACTGTATGCTACGTGCTTTATTGGTTATTTTACAAAACCCTGTGGGCGGTACTGTATTTGGAAAACCTGCATAAAAGAAGGCCCTTTGGTGCCAAGTAATACAGATCTTCTTGACCCTCAATACATAGCCTTGTCTCGTTATTGGAGGTAACTGCTATAATCACACTGGGGATTGCTATGCTCTGCATACTCCCTTGAGCTTTAATCACTTAGCTCTTTTAAGAGCTGTTCCTGTTACGCTCTCCTGGAGGAGAGGTCTTCCCCACACGATCCTGGAGGATAGAAGCTAATCCAGGGTGGAAAGAAGACGGTTAGACTCCAGTTAACCTACGGCGGTTGTGGTGTCTGTGGTGGTTGTGGTGTCAGGTGCAGTGCTTGTGGTCCCCGTGCAAGCTAGGAAGCCTCCATTAACGGAAGGTTCCGTTACAGTATTATACAGATAACTGAGCATTTACCGCATGTCCCAATCGCTAGACTACTAGTTTCTGCCAACAGCAGCTCCCAGACGCGTGTAACAGTGCTAAAGTGTGTGGCAGCTCATACAGATGATTCAGCAATAAAGCGCACTCGCTGGCAGAGCCAAACTGAGAATCCAAAGCAGCCCTGGAAAAATGTATGCCATTCCTACAAGTCATTAAATATATATTGACACATATATATATATATATATATATATATTATTTTTTTTACAGTAAGCACACAAGCTCACTAACATGTGCAAACAGGCTCACTGACAAACAAAACTCTCTGACTCACACACAAGCTCACTAAAGACAAGTTCACTGACACACACATGCTCACTAAATAGAAGCTCACTGACACACTAGCAGTACCATCTTAACAGCGTCATGGGCCCCAAGGCAAAGCAGTTCACTGGGGCCCTTCCTACACAACAACTCACAGGAATACATTTTTTAATTATTGTTAGACTGCTGAGTACATACGCTGAATATGAACACAGAGAGACTGTTGAATACACACACACACACACACACAGATTTCTTAATGCATACAGGCATTGCTGAATGCACACACCCTGATTTATACATGTACACACACTGCTGAGTCCATACACACACACAGACACACCGACTGTTGAGTCCATATGCACACACACAGACTGCTGAGTCCACACACACTGCTGAGTCCATACACACACACAGACCATTGAGTCCATACACACACACAGACACACAGAGATTGCTGAGTCCATACACACACTGAGAGACTGCTGAGTCCTCACACACACACACACACACACAGACTGCTGAATCCATACACACACACTGACACACAGACTGCTGAATCCATACACACAGACAGCTGAGTCCATACATACACAGACACAGACTGCTGAGTCTATACACACACACAGATTACTGAGCCCATACACACACACACACACACACACACACACATATTGCTGAGTCCATACACACACAGACACACACACATACTGCTGAGTCCATACACACACAGACTGCTGAGTCCATACACACACAGACACATAGACTGCTGAGTCTACACACACCCCCACACACACAGACCGCTGAGTCTATACACACACATACTGCTGAGTCCATACACACACAGACACATAGACTGCTGAGTCCATACAAACACACACACAGATTGCTGAGTTCATGCACACACAAACTGCTGAGTCCATACACACACAGACTGCTGAGTCCACACACACACAGACTGCTGAGTCCCATACACACACAGGCACATAGACTGCTGAGTCCATACACACACATACTGCTGAGTCCATACACACAAAGACTGCTGAGTCCATACATACATATACACAGACACACACAGACCGCTGAGTCCATACACACACAGACACATAGACTGATGTGTCCATCCACACACACAGATTGCTGAGTCCATACACACACATACTGCTGCGTCTATACACACACAGACACATAGACTGCTGAGTCCAAACACACACACATACTGCTGAGTCCATACACACACAGACACACAGACTGCTGAGTCCATACACACACACACACATAGACCGCTGAGTCCATATACATACACACACACAGACTGCTGAGTCAATACACACACACAGATTGCCGAGTCCATACACACACACACACACAGACTGCTGAGTCCATACACACACACACACCTGAGCATATCAAGCCTACCTGTCACTGGAGTCTGTTGCTGGGCGGTCAGCCAGCCATCTTCCTGCCTTGGTCTACTGCTTAACGGCGGGGTGGGGCTTATGTTTGTTAGGCAGGGCTTTGTTTGGGGCAGGACCTGTGCTGGGGAGCCTGTCAGTGCTCCCTCCAGCCACAGACAACCACAGCCAACACCCAACCACAGACAACACCCAGCAAGTTGCCAGTATTTTTTTGAGGGGGCACAGCATAATGTAGGCGGGCCGTGGCCCCCTCTGCCCCCCCCCCCCAGCGACGCCACTGTCCCAGAGCCCCTCAACAGCTTATTAGAGAGACTGTTTCTCCCTATAGCTTTGAATGGAAAAAGCTCAAGGCTCCTGCCGCTGTATTTACAAGTCCCCACACTCCCACATAGCTCTTCCCCATTACGAATTAAATGAAATTCAAGGTGAAACAAAAACGTGGTCAATCAGTGCAAAGTGCTATGTGAAAAAAATCCCACCTTTAAAGGATCACTATAGGGTCAGGAACACAAATATGTATTCCTGACCCTATAGTGTTAAAACCACCATCTAGCCCCCCTGGGCCCATCATGCCTCCATAAATATATAGCAAAATCTCACTGTATGCTTCCCCATAGGATTGGCTGAGACTGACAAAGAGGCAAAGCCAGCACAATTCAAACACAGCCCTGGCCAATCAGCATCTCCTCATAGAGATACATTGAATCAATGTATCTCTATGAGGAAAGTTCAGTGTCTGCATGCAGAGGGAGGAGATACTGAATGTTTGGATGCATTTTAGGCATCCATGACCCAGGAAGAATCTCTAACAGCCATCTGAGGAGTGGCCAGTGAAGTTATCACTAGGCTGTAATGCAAACACTGCATTTTCTCTGAAAAGACAGTGTTTACAGCAAAAACCCTGAAGGTAATGATCATACGCACCTGAACAAATTCAATAAGCTATAGTTGTTCTGGTGACTATAGTGTCCCTTTAATTTCTTTCACTTAGAAAAACAGCACCATGTGTTATTTGGATAAGGTTGACCAAAATTTCCATAAAGCTGTCCATGATCAGTGCTTTCTCTAATTAGGGAGGTTTACTCCTAGACATCAGTTATTTAATCTGCATTGGGAATGAGCTGAAACTAAATGGCAGCAAGTGCTATTGAGAAGTGGAAGTCCCAGTCCAATTTTAGCTTTGGTTTAATATTTTTTCATAAGCTTTTCAAATGACTTCATATTTTTTGGATATTTATTTTCAAATATTACAATATCAAGAAAAAATGACATCTAAATGACATATATACATCTAAATAATAAAATATTAAGATATTAATACTGTATTTTTCAAAATATTAAATAATTCAAACATTTTTTTTTTAAATAGAATGATTTGAAAAGCTTATCCAAAATGTTTAAATTGAGGCTTCTCTGTGAAAATGTAAATAGACACAAAAAAGGGAAGAATAAAAATGAAATCATAAACTGCAAATCAAATGAAACATTGTGTATTTCAGACTTTTCAGAGGCTAATAAGATATAAACCTAATTTATAAAAAAATATATATGTATGTTTTGTGTGGTTGTATATAGAAAATAATTGAATGGTTTTGTATTTTCCTTAAAAAATAAAAATGTAATAATTCTATATAAATATTGTATCAACCGATATAGATCAGCTATGGAGCGACTGACACGCAGCTTAGTGACAGATCACTTTATCCCTACTTCTTCCGGACAGTTCAGGATGATCGGACTCATCATACAGCTATTGTGAAAATGCTGAAATTTTTTGGATGGAACTGGGTTGGAATAATCACATCGGAGGATGAAAGTGGAGAGAGGGAACTCCGGGAGCTAAGCCAAGAGCTCACCAGTCACGGGATCTGCATTGAGTATACCATAACAATGCCTGATAAAGAGGATAAAGGGAAATACAAAGGCATGAATATTATTGAAAAAGCAACCTCCCAGGTTCTAATAACATGTGGATCATGTGCTGAGTATTGTGCTTCTATTATATATAACTCTTTAACAATCTTGAAAAATATAACTCTATTAATTAATATGTCATGGCTCTATGCTTTTACTTTTTGGAATTTTGGAATACTAATTGATGGCAGTTTGACTTTTATTCCTTCAATAAATGTAATTTCCAAAATTGAGATGGCGTTTAATAATGTTAACCCTGTGAATCGTCCAAAAGATCCATTACTAGAAGACTTAGGTATACGTTTCTTTCAATGTAACTCGCCAAACCATGATAAGAATGAGTTTCATACTACAGTAAATAGAAAAACACTTCATAACTGTACAGGAAGAGAAAGATTTAAGGATATTATTAGCATTTCACATGATTCACAACCTTATTTTGTGGTTTATGCTGTGTATGCCATGGCACTTGCTTTGCATAGAATGTATTTGTCTTCACATGTGGATCATCGTGAATTAAATGCAGGAAAATACAACTATAAACACAAGGTAAATATTTAACGCAAAGACACATAGTTTGCATTATTAAAAAAAGACCACCAGGAATTCAAAGATAATTCAAAGATAAATTAACATTGAAAGGGATTCTATAGGCACCAAAACAACTTTAGCTTGCACCACATGCATCAAGTCAGCACATAGTAAGTACTTATGAGAGTTGCTATTATTTATTGTTTTATTGCATTATTGTACAATTTTTATTGTCTTTAAATGGTGTATGTTTTATGGGGTGAAATAGCTTGAAAAAGACCCCTGCATGGGTCGAAAGGTTGTGGTGTCCACTTTGCTCCAATTAAGCGACTTGAGAGCAAAACAAAAAACAAAAAAACTTTAGTTTAAAGAGACACTGTAGTCACTATAAGCATTTCATCTCTTTGAATTGGTTATAGTGCCTGGAGTGCACTGGCACTGTCCCTCCATTTAGTATTGAAACATTTAAATATATAAAGGGAAACAACACAGTAAAGGAGGAGACTATATTTAAAAGAAGAAAAACTACCACAACAAGAGGACATAGTCTTAAATTAGAGGGACAAAGGTTTAAAAATAATATCAGGAAGTATTACTTTACTGAGAGGGTAGTGGATGCATGGAATAGCCTTCCAGCTGAAGTGGTAGATGTTAACATAGTAAAGGAGTTTAAGCATGCGTGGGATAGGCATAAGGCTATCCTAACTATAAGATAAGGCCAGGGACTAATGAAAGTATTTAGAAAATCGGGCAGACTAGATGGGCCGAATGGTTCTTATTTGCCGTCACATTCTATGTTTCTATGTTTCTATGTTTCAGTATGCCACAAAATAAGAGTCCCTGGTCACCCACAGTCCGGCCCCTTCAGTATGTGTAGCTAAGGCAGAGATTACACACTTCCTTATTGTCTTACCCATTCATACCGTCAGTTGGAACTCTGACAAGCTAAAAGCAGTCAGCTTACACTCTCAGCCAATCACAGCTGACTATTGCTGCTCAGGCTAATACTTCGGTACTAGTCAAAGCAGCACAGAATGGATGGATTGCTGGGGACTCTTGTTTAGCATTAAAACATTAAAAATTTTAAAACTGTTTAATGCTGAAAGAAATGATGGTACCAGAGGACTCCAGACACTATAACCAGTTTAATGAGATGAAGCAGATACAGTGCCTATGGTGTCCCTTTCATGAAGCAGTTTTGGTCTATAGCTTATGCCCCTGCTGTCTCACTGCTCAATTCTCTGCTATTTAGGAGTTTAAGCACTTTTGTTTCTGTTTATGCAGCCATAGCCACACCTCCCCTGGCAGTGACTGACACAGTCTGCAAGAAAAAAAAATGGTTTCATTTTCAATCAAATCTTGCATTAGATGTTTTTATTACCTGTTCTATAAATTTAACTTTAATCACACACAGAAGGCTATTAACAAAAAAGAAATTAAGAGCAATATAAACAATGTGATTTAACTCCTAAATGTCAGAGAATTGAGCAGTGAGTCTGCAGGGGTATGACATGTACACTAAAACTGCTTCATTAAGCTAAAGTTGTTTTGTTGCCTAATTGATACAGATATAAAGTTACCCAAAGATATGTTCAAGTGAAACCAAATTGTTAAATGTTCGAGCCGCAATCAAATCAGACCAGGCAGTTTGTGATTCAAAGATTATTTCCTCTTTTATTGTGAAAGCTTACAGATTATATAGTTCTTTGTAAAACAGCTTTGTGACTTGCGTGGCAAAAACAGGATGCTTGAAATCACTGTGTACCATAAAAGGAGTTTACAGAACTAAGCCTATTTCAGTGGTTATATGGTGGTGAGGAAAGCGGTTGTGAAACGACCGGACAAGACGGAGAGCATGAACCTGGTCTGCAGGAACCAACTACATTCCTCCGGGCCATATCCCTTCCAGTCAACTTAATAAGACAAGACACTCCTAGAAATCTTGGAATCCAATATAGAATGGACTTTGTATTCTTCTTGATCACCGACCACCGAAGGTGGAGGAGGAACGCCCTGTTTAGTGTATCGATTGCAAGTGAGGGGCTTAAGCAACGACACATGGAAAGTATTGGCAATTCTCATATGCGCAGGGAGTGCCTAGGAAGAAGTTACGAGGTTAATACGATGAAGAACACAGAAAGGCCCTATGTATCAAGGAGATAGTTTCATGGAAGGGACCTTGAGCTTAATATGGCGCGTGGATAACCAAACCCTGCCCCCCACTTGATAGACAGGATTGGCAAAACACCACTTGTCTGCCTGGATTTTAGCACGTTTTGAGGCTGTTTGTAGTGCCAAATGCACTGAATTCCACATGTCACAGACAGAAACTAAACGGGCGTCCAAAGCAGGAATATCAGTGCCCGAAAATTCAGAAGGTAAAACAGTGGGGTGATAACCATTATTTACAAAAAAAGGGGCTATGACTCGAAGATTCATGAGTTGCATTATTCCTGGCAAATTCAGCCATGGGCCAGTTGGACTGATTGGCATTGATAAAGCAACGTAAATAGGATTCTAAAGACTGATTGGCCCTCTCCGCTGCACCATTAGTCTGAGGGTGATATGAAGAGGAGAATGAAAGTTCTATACCCAATTGTTTACAGAAGGCATGCCAAACCTAGATATAAATTGGGTACCTCTGGCAGCAACAAAAAAAAAATGTGTACTCCATGTAACCGAAAGATTTCTTTCAAGAATATTTGGACAAGATCTTGAGAAGATGGCAATTTTTTAAGAGGTATAAAATGTGCCATCTTGGAGAATCTATCCACAACCATGAGGATGGTGTTATACCCATTTGAACTGGGGAGATCCACAATGAAATCCATGGCTAAATGGGTCCATGGAGCGCCAGGTATTGGAAGTGGCTGTAAAAACCCAGGGAGAGATTTATGAGGTGTTTTAGAGACATCACATATTTTACATGCCCCTACATAATCTTTAACGTCACATCTAAGCGTAGGCCACCAAAATTTCCTGGAAATTGCAGAGAGGGTTTTATGTATACCAGGATGTTCGGCTGTCAGATTATCATGAAACAACCCAAGCACTTTTCCCTTAATAATGGTGTAATGTATAGTTTGTCCGTGGGTTTCTCCACGGGTGCTTGAGTTGATCTGCTATTATGGCACAAAAAAGTGGAGAAGACACTTCGAAAACCATAGTAGCAAGAAGACATTCTGGAGGTACAATTGGGAGTACCTCTTGTTCAGGAACCTAATCTGTCTCAAACTGTCTAGACAGCACATCTGCCTTAGTGTTCTTGGTATCGGCCTGTAAGTCATGACAAAATTGAAACGGGAGAGGAATACGGGAAACAATCTCTAAACAATGAGTAATAGTGGAGAGAGGAGTCCTCTAGAAGGACAAGCTATAACTCGCATCTCGACTTTGTCCCTTAGGTTGGTGCTCTAGGGGTGAGGCTCACTGAGATGCATAGGTGCATTTCCAGCTCCTGAGAGCTGTGTGCTGTATAGATAATCCCATCACGTGTGAAGATAAATACTCATGGGGTCCTCCATATGTAGGGAATATGACTTGTGCAAAGGTGTTGCAGGAGTGGTTGCAGAGACTTTTGCCATGTAACTTTTTCTTTTCTTTGGTTTTTACTATATATTGGGGCTGATATGTACTGTAGTCATTGCTGCCAGCCCAGTAGTGATGGGAGTGAGCGCAGGACTTCTCTTTTTGTACTTCCCCTATAATGATTGAGAGGTGTGTGTTCGATTTGGATCCCAGATTCCACCATAAATCTCGAGTTTCATCAGTTTAAACATTGAGCTCAGAGAAGTGCATCCGTTCTGCTACCTTGTACCTCTGCTTCACCCCCCACGTTCTTCAATTCTCAATGTAAAAGGTGGCTGAAAGTGAAAACAGAGAAAATAAAGATGTTGTGACTGTCCTTATATAAATAGAGAATTTAAATGCTCTCTGTGACATTCCTGGCCAAGGCTAATTTCATCAAGTTACAACAATACATGAAATGAAGAGGTAAGCAGTGCTTTCTGTGCTTTGCTCAGACATAAAGAGATGTTTATCTTCTAAACTGCAGACTCTCTTACATTAAATAATCTGTACACCTAGTTTCACAATTGCCGGTGATGGCTCAGTACCACAAAGCAAGGTATATTATCATAATATTGACATCTAAATGCTAAAACTGTAAAAAAAAAGGGACATTTCATAAAACATTCTCCCTAACCCACCCAACATTCCTACATAGTTTTAAGTACAATTTGGAAGGGAAATCAGACATTAATAATGGGAGGTCCTCACATATCAATTTACCCTGATTGTTAAATGTGATCTACTCTACCCATCTGAGAGCACAATTACTGACATTTACATGTACCAAATACCTCATACAAGTCTAGTGACCTACCATATCAAATAAAGCTGATTACTAGGACCATAGAAGCTTTCCAGAATTATTCTGCATTAGCCAATATATCTTAAATACATCGGTTATACCATCGACCTACCATAACATATAAAAGAAATCCATTAAT